ACAGCAGGAGTCCTGTCCGCGCTGTGTCCCCAGACCCACCTTCCGCTTGTCCCCCAGCCCCGTGTGCCCGAGCTGTGTGGCACAAAAGAGCTGGGTGCCCCCCTCCTGCCCTGCCCACCCTCCCTTCCTGCCCTGGGCCCTGACCCACTCCCATCTGCCCGCCCCGCTCTCCTTCCCTTGACAGGCGAAGGCCCCCAGCAGTCCCTTGACAACCGTCTGCATCCGCTTCCCGGTGGACCCTCCTGGCCAGATGGAGTGGACCCAACACAGAACCATAACTGACCACCCAGGCCTCCTCAGCCACAGCAGACAGGCCTGGACACCCTCCCGCACCACTGGGATGCCTTGAGGGAGTGGTGATGCTCATTCAAGGCCAGGAAGGACACACCTGCAGTGTCCACCCTGAGCAGGAGCGGGCTGGTCACCCCTGCGCAGGCTGGGTCCTCACTCGGCCAGGCCTCAGCCTCTTGCGGTGGCATGGACCAGGGCACCCCTCCCCCATGGCTTAGCCCCCCCCGCCCCCCCGCCCTGGGCTCTGACCCTTTGTTCCGGAGGACAAAGGGCTCCTGGCCGAGCTCTGGGTCCTGCTGACGCCGCACCCCCTTCCAGGACAGGACAAAGGGGTGGGATGCAAAGGTTCTGATGCCTCAGCCAGTTTCTGTGGAGGCTGCAAGGGCAGGGAGGCTGGCTGAAGGACGGAGGCTGGGGAGGACAGAGCCCGGCCAGCAGGTGCTGGATCCCGTCCTGAGGGGAACCCGGAGCTCACCCCGGGGCGGGGGCTGGGCTGGGCAGCTTGAACCAGAATGTGGCAGGACTCCTGGGTTCAGAGCAGAGCCCTTCCTCACATCGCCACCCGCCAGCCCCGGCCTCAGCTGCCCCTGCCACCGGGGGCATGGGGCTGCCTGAGTGGGGGCCTTCGAAGGGTGCAGTCTGTGGCCCAGAGGTCGGGTGTCTCCGTCAGCCCAGGTGGGGGACCAGGGCTGGGTGCGGGGTGGGGCGGGCAGGCTGGGCTCCTCCTGGGCCTGCCTGTGACCAGGCTCCCAGATATTGATGAGAGGACTGCGGGGTGGCCCCTCTGAGAGGCCCATCTGGAAACCATGTCCACCCACGTTAGACTTTGTGCCTGCTCCACCCTGGCCATGGCTCCAGGGGACCCGGCCCCCCTTCTGGGAACGTCACTCCCAGCAGACTTACAGACCCCTTCCTCCTCCAGACCCCTCCTCTCCGCCCCCCCCCGTGTTGGGGGGCAGTTTCAAGATAAACAGATGATTAAATAAATCCATCCATGGCAGGGATTCCCAGGTGGTTCAGTGGTAAAGAATCTGCCTGCAATGCAAGAGAAGCGGGTTTACTCTGTGGAGAAGATCCCCTGGAGAAGGAAATGGCAACTCACTCCAGTATTTTTGCCTAGGGAAATCCTGTGGGCAGAGAAGCCTGGGGGCTCCAGTCCGTGGGGCCGCAAAGAGTTGGACACAGTCGACTGAGTGGCTAAACAACAGCGGCTTGGGCAGAACAACTGCTGCAAAGCCTGAGAAAGGGGAGAGGCCAGGGGTGCCTTTAGAAAGCCAGCGGTGGCCCCTCTGGACGAGATCCTCCAAGGACAGAGGAAGTGAGGAGCCCACCACCTAGAGCACTGGAGTCTCACGTGAGAACCTGAGAACTGACTGAAGTCCATGGGACAAACGGACGCACAACCTTGCCCGCTGGAGCCCAGAAAGGTCCTTGAGGGTATAGCAGCGGAGTGAAGGGCGGACACAGCTGCCACGCCTGAATCTGTGAACCAGCCCTGGGGAGCCTGGAGGGATGGCTCCAGAGATGCTCAGGGGGTGGAGTCGGGGGCTCTCGGGCCAGGCAACCCGCTCTGCCCACTTGCAATTCCCGCTTCGTCCACCTGGGGGCGGACCTGGCCCAGGAGCAGAGGAGGGGAAGGGCGGGGTGGGGGGCAGATGCACACCTGGACGGGCAGGCAGGTGAGCCAGGGGCCCCAGTTTGCAGATAATGAAAGGGAGAGCTCCCGCAATGCACCGGAAGCTCAGGGCCCCCCGCCTCAGGCACGGGACCAACCCGCACCACCCCAGGCACGGGTCCCCCCTCCACCGACATCCTGCCCACCAGCCCCCTTCCCTCATAAGACACTGGGGGCAGGGAGAGGTAAGTGGACCAGGTGTGGACATGGGCAGTGAGCCTGGGGATGGCCCCTTCTCCCACCCAGGGCTCCCAGGTCCTCAGGGTGCCCCTCCTGGGACGGTTGATCACCCTGCCTCCAAAAAACCCACGTCCTTCCCTGGCTTCTCCCAACCCCACAGAGGAGCCAAGTGCAGGCAACCTGGGTTTGAACTGACTTTATTATTCTGTAAATGTGAATTTTACAAAGCGCTTTACAATGAACGATCACATCCTTTTGTTTGTAACGGATTTCCACCTCCTGGATCGGCTTTGAGCACATTGCAAGCCCTCGGTTTCCTGGTCGCTGGCGGATGTTGTGTCCTCTGAGTTATGATACGGTGTCAGCCGTGGCGAAAAAGCAACAGTCTGAATTCTGCCAAGTAGCAGCACGAAAGAGAGGGAGGCGCAGGAGGAACAAACAGAGGTTTCCTCCTTCTTAAAAAAAAAAAAAACGAAAAAAGAAAATAGAAAAAAAAAAAAAAAAGCCAGTCTCTTCTGAGACTGAAATGGAACTCAGCGTTACTGTGGAACAGGCCTCCTATACAGCACAGGACAATTTATTTATTGATTTTTAACAGTCGTGAGTTACAGTACTACTTAACCCCTCCACGGACTCTTTACAACAACCGTCTCCTTTTCAAAAGTCTCTTTTTTCCCCCCAAACAGTCTGTCCAAAGGATGAATGGTCTATTTGCACCCAATGCCATTCAAATGTTCAAGTCAAAAATATTTATATGGTTTATATTTAGTTCTTTATTATTTTTTGTCTGCTAAAAATAGTATTGCAAGTTTTGGCTTCTTTTGACATAAAAATGACAACCATGTGCAAAACGCTGACGAAGAAGCATTGATCAGAATTCAAGCGGGCTGTCCAATCTGAATGCTTTAGATAGATGCTGCATCACATTCCTTTTCGTTTTTCTCAAAGAAACAGAACAACACAAGAAACAAAAACCAAAAACCCTTGTTGCCAGGTTAGAAACACCTTGTACAGAGCCCCGCCGCCCCCCACCGCCACCGTCTCTGGCCGCTGGCGGGGGACACGCCCGGAGCTGGCTGGCTGACATAATGACAAATGTATGCAGCAGCAACATTCAGAAACAGTAGTTAAAGCTCAAGACGGCTCTGAGCTCTCAATTCTGTGTTTAGGATTTACTGCTGGCAGAGAGGCAGGCAGAGGTTTTCTCTGAGTTTTCAGGTGGTTAATGGGCCATAGGCCTTTTTCGACTTGCAGCAGAATACTTCCATAAAGATAACCCGGTGGAGGGGAATCTAAGCCGTCCACGGCGGGGGGTGGCACGCACCCAGCCCGTGCTGGGAGGTTCCGGCCGTCACATGGGGACAGAGTCAGGGCCGGAACCGAGCAGGCCGCTCCCAGGCTGAGCCCCTGCTTTCCTCCTTCTTCCCAGCAGAAAGGCTGCCGAGGAATGAGTTTTCATGGAGGAGAAACACGCCCGGCTCCCGGGGCCCCAGCACCCGGACAGCGGTTCTGGAGCCACAGGCCGCACGCCCAGAGGCCTCTCCCCTCGCCTCTGGTCCACATTCAAGGGCAGGGTAAGACGATCGCATCAAGTGCAAGGTTAAGCAACCACAGAGAACTCTGGGTGAGACCAGACAGTGCAGAAAGCAAGACAGGTTTCAAGTACCGAGGCCGCCGGCCGGCTGGCCGGGCAAGCGGGCAGCCCCACCGAACTCACAGTATCTGTCACATCGCGGTCCCTTCTCCTGGGCCTTTGCACTCGTCCCAGCTGCCTCCCGGGGCCCAGCCCGGCCACCGGGGAGGGCAGGGGTGGGGGGCGGCCACGGAGCCCAGGCGGGCTGCCCGCCACAGCCGCTGGGACTGGCCCAGTCCTTCTCTCTCCAAAAGGCGCCGATAGACTTAGCTCTATGTAGACTCTATGTAGTATATGCGTATTGCTAATAGTCAAGCTTAGGGATAAAGGTGCGGTTATCTCATAAATACTGAGTGGCTTGTCTCTCGGTCTACAGGGGTCAGGTGGGGAGGGTCACGCTCACGGGACAGGAATTAGTCGTCTTGTAAACAGAGGAGGGGAGGGTCTGGTTCTCCTAATTGGTTTTCCTTGGGAAAAATGATCAAAAGATGCTAAGGCACTCTGGAAGGCCCCCCCTGAGCCCAGGCCCGCCGCCGCCCGCCCCGCGGAACATTCCAGACGCGGTGGGAGGAGCACCCCGGCAGATACAATCATCAGCCACGCCCGTCTGCAAACGCTCCACCCCACGTCCACCGCGGGACACATTAGTGCAAAACGCTCGGCCTGGCCCGTGCGGAGCGCAGGAAGAGCTCAGCAGCCATTCACATTAGATTCTTATTAAAGTTTCACCTGCAGCTCTAGCCTTCCTTACCCAGAACAACAAAACAGACGGTGACTATAAACAGAGGACAGCGGTCACGGGACATTGTGCTGGCCTGAGCAGCGCCGTCAGGCCTTCTCTGGGAGGCCGGCGCCCCTCCCTGTCCTGGCCTCGGGGTGGGGGAGAGGGGGCCGGGCCCACGTTGGAGCGGGGGTCTAGAGGAGAGAGCAAAGCCCTTCTGTGCACAGCCAGGGCGGGCAGCCGGCCCCAGAAGATCCCCAGGGCTGGCCGGATGAAAGTGCAAACACGGGGTGGCGGCCGGCCGACAAGGGGGGCTCCAGAGGGGAGCCGGTGGGGTGGTGGGGTCCGCCTCACCCGCCCCCCACCCCCACCTAGGGGCTGTGGCCTCCTCCCAACTCCAGGAGGACTTGGTCCTGGTCCCTGGTGGGCTGTGGGCCCTGGGCTGTGCCAGCTTGCCCCCTGGGCCTGAGATGGAAGAGGCCCACCTCTGGGCCACATGGTCAGCCTGAAGCCCCAGCAGGAAGGAGCTGCAGCCCCTGGGGCAGGGACAGGTGGGTGAAAGGGCTGAGGTCAGCTCCCATGTGCCCACCCAGGGTCCTCCCAGCCCAGCCCGCGGGCATCAGACCTCCGCGGAGGGCAGGCCTGGCTGGAAGACACACACCCCCAACCCCCACCAAGATCTCCTCCAAGGGCCCTCCACAAGAGAGCGCCGCAATCAGCAGGACGAGGAGCCTGGGGTGGGGGTCAGGGAGTGCTGAAGCCCCCCCTCCCACAATGCCCCCCTCCCAGCTGGGACCTACAAGAGGCTGGGGGTGGCTCAGCTTTGTGGGGGGGCAGGTCACACCTGCCTGGCAGGGGTTCGGGGGGAAGGGAAGGCAGAGTGCAGGGAGCAGGGCTGGGGAGTGGGGGGTTGTGGCCATGCCTGGGGGCCGCCTGGGACTGGGAGGCGGCCCCCGGGCGTCTGGATGGGAGCACTTGGGACAGCCCGTGCGTGCCCCTCCCCTCAAAGAGCAATGAAACTTCACAGTGAGCTTTCCAGCCTCAAACCAACAAAGCCCTTGCCCCCCCATCCCCATCAACACCCCCCCCCGATGCAGTCCAGAACCTCTGGGCCTGCAAACCACCTCCGCTCAGGCCTGTGCCCAGGGCCCACCTACCCACAGCCTCGGAGGTCCACGCACCCTGGGGCTCCGAGCACATGTGGGAAGCCCAGCGCCTGCCTGACCCCCGATTCCCTTCCTGATCACCCTGGCTGCCCTTCCACGGGGGTGAGCAGGACCCGTCCTGTGGTCTGGGACACAGACCCCCCCCCAGAGCTGTAGTGGGTCGGGGCAGGGACACCCCAGCCTCTCTTAATTATTTTTTGCTCTTTTGGGTCTGAAAGTTTCCAAACCAAGTATGAAATAGATCTGAATTAAGACGAAAACGAATAAACAAGCAAACCTAAACCCAACATGGCTGAGGGCTGCGTGGGCTGCACCAGGGGCGGTGGCCCCACCCCACGGGGTGGCGGGCGGCCAGGCGGAGGCGGCCAGGCGGGAACCCGGGGGTGCTGGGCGGCACGGGCCCCGGGTCCCAGGTGGATTGAGGGTCCGTGGAGCCATGGGGGTTGGGTGGGCCGCTGGGGCACGGGGCAGGACAGCAGACATAGCCAAGATCACTTCCTCTCACATACAGACCAGCACGGCCCACCGCCGAGCCGTCACCACCGCCCTTGCACACGCTCACACACACACACACACACACGCTCTGCACACACACCCACACCCCACACGCATGGTGGACCTGGCAGGCCTGACCCCCGAGTCTCAGGAAGAAGGTAAAACGAGGATTTGGCCCCTGGGGGCCCAGCCCTGGCCCGTGGCCCCGGAGGGGTTGCGGGGGGGGTCCCCATCCCCAGGGGTGAGGACTGAGGACCCCAAAGCACGTGTTCCCACCCCACAGGCCCCCCGGCCTCATCCCGGGCAGGAGGAGCGGGGAGGGGGGGAGGCCGGCAGAGCCAGGCACCAGGGCCTGGGGGCCTCTCGCCCCACTCCCCACGCGGGGGAGGGGGAGCTGCAACTTGGAGACTAACCTCTCGAATATCAAAAAGGAGCCCCTGGGACCTTTCTCGCAACTAGGTTGCCAGTGGCCTAATCGTTTTACAGTATAACGAATGCATTTGTTTCCTTCATAAATTTTAAATACAAGCAGAATAAAAATCACATTTTTCTCAGGCAACAGTAGCAGTTCAGTAGGTAAGTGGCTTGATCACATTTGTCTGTATTAGTAACGCATGCAAGCAGCTTCCGTACCCGCCTGGGCGCCGGTCCGCCAGGGGCGCCTCCCTACAAGGGCCCCGCGTACGGGCCTTCCGGTCTCCTCCCCGGGGCCGGCGTGGCGGGCCGGCTGCTGCTGGCGCTGCCCTGCTCGAAGGGCTGCGGGGGGCTCTGGCCGTCGGCGGGCAGCGGCTCGGGCGCGGCCACCTCCTGGATGACCGAGCCGGCCCCGTCGGCCTCCTCGCCGGCCTCAAAGGCCGGGTTGGCGGAGGCGGCCAGGTCGACGTTCACGGCGTCAGTTCTCAGGGCCACGATGGCGGCAGCCTCGCCCCGCCTCTCAGCATAGATGCGCTGCTCGAACACCTGTGCGGCGGCGGGCGGGAACTCGGGGTCCAGGGGTGCGCTGGCTGCCGAGGAACCCATGACCGTGCGGTACATCTCCACGCCCTCGGGCAGCATGGACTTGATCTTGGGTAGCCAGCGCTTGCGCACGCGGCGGGCGTTGGTGCACATGTCCGCAGCAATGACATTCATCTCACTCTCCTTGAAGCTGGGGGCGAAGTTCTGACAGTACACTGCAAGGACAGGGCGGGCGGTGGGCGTGAGTGGCCACCCACCCGCAGGAACCCCAGGACCCCGCCTCTGCCTCCCCAGGGGCCGTAGGCCCGAGACCCGCCTTGGATGAGAAGGGGGTGGGGGTGCGGTGCTCTGGGCTGGAGCAGCCACTCTGGGGCCATTGGAGGGGGCGTCTCTTCCACCCTGCGTCCCTCCGGCAAAGGAGGCCACGTGGCCACTCAGGCCTCTCCTGGGGCAGTTTAAACGCCAGCGGTCGGTCACCATTCTCCCTGCTGGAGGCCCCATCCCACTCCTCTGGGGCAAGCATTCAGGGGAGGGGCGGTCAGGGCACATGGGATCCCCCGCTGTGGCTCCAGCAGGGGCACAGAGGGCCTGTGGGGGGGGGTGCTCTGGCCCCCTCCTGCCCACTGGTTGGCTGCGTGGCCCTGGGCAGGGCCCCGTCTCTGGGCCTCACTTTCCCACTCTGTCCCACCCACCATGTGCCCTTGGTGGGAGAAGTCTGATAGCATCCCCGCCCGGGGCAGTGGGAACCAGGGCAGGGCCTGGGTGCCCGCCCCAGGGTGAGGCTGGGTGGGTGGGTGGGGAGTCTCTCTGGGCCTGAGATGGACTGAAGGGCCAGCAAGGAGTGATAAGGGGGCTGGCTCATGCCTGCCTTCAGCCCAGCCTGTGGCAGCGGCATCATGTTTGACAATGACGACCCGCCCTCTCCTCTGCTCCAGAAGCCAGGAGACCCAGCTCTCCACAAGCAGCAGGGAACTCGGAGGGCGGTCTCCCAGAGTGAGCCCCCCACCACTGTGAGCCCCGCTGTGGGGTGGGCCAGCCCCACCCCACCTGCCTCCTCTCAGAGCGCTGCCAGCACCGCACGCTCCGGGATGCAATTACCGGCTACAAAGGCCCCTCTTTGCTCTAAACAGAATTAGCCTCACGGGAGAGATTCTTTTAAGCAAGAAAACCAAGACAGTGTTTCAGGAAGACGGGCTCGGCTGGTCTGGCCTGGGCCAGGCATGGGTGGCTTCTTCCTTGTCCCGGGGCAGGGGTGGGTGGGTAGGTGGGTGGGGTGTTTCGGGGGTTGCGGGGGGGGGGGGCAGCGGTCTGCCACCGAGATGGACCCGATTCCACCCCCACGCACCCAAGAGCGGGAGGCAGAAGCAGGCCGAGCAGATGGCAAAGGCTCAAAATAACCCCCAAATGTAAATAAGGGGTTTTGTTCAAAAAGGAAAATTAGATCTATTTCACATATTAAAATAGTTTCGCAGCTGAATTCATCACGCTTGGAAACCTACCAAGAACGTTCACACCTCGAGCCCGGGCTCCCGCGAGCTGTTCTTTTCTCCCCGTCGACCCCATGGCCGGCTCCCTCCGGGAGAAGCCGCCTTTCCCAGGCTGAGATCCAGGGGTCTGGTGGCTCTTGGAGGTGCTCCCCAGCCCCACCAGTCCCTCCAGAGACCCCCCAGCCCTCCTCTTACGTTTCACAGCATTCAGGACACGGCTGTCCAGCGGCTTGCGGCTCGGGTCGCTGGTGGATGAACGGATGCCTGTGCCACAGCTGTTGGCCAGCGTGTTCCTGACGGAGGGGCGGGCAGGGGAGGCAGCGTGAGGCGGCAGCAGGAGGGGATGCCCGCCCGCCCCACCCATGGCCTGCTGCTTATTTTCCCGGGGGGTCAGGGTGAGGAGCAGGCCCCCACCCCCCATGATGCACAGCCAGCATGCTTCTTCACATGCGGGGGGCGGTCCACAAGCCCTCCCCAGGCCCCGGGCTGACACTGGCGTGGAGCTGGGAAGGTGCAGGCCCTACACGCACAGCCTCGCCTAGAGGGGATGAGGCTTCTGTGCCTGCCGGCTGGCGGGACCTACCTGTCGAAGAAGGTGGCGAGGAGGCGGCGCAGCAGAACCTTGTGCTTCACCCCTGCACACAGGTGGCAGTTCATGAGCTGCCCACGCGTGATGTAGACGCCGGAGCCTGCGGCCGTCGGACACAAGAGACACAGAGAGGCCCTCAAGCCCAGGCCCAGGGCTGCTGGGCCCAGGGCAGGCGGACCGCAGGCGAGGGGGGGAGGCAGGGGCAGGTGAGGCCTGCCCGACACTGACAGCACCCCCCTCCAGGCCTGCGACCCCAGGACGCTCCAGGCCTGCGACCCCAGGACGCTCCAGGCCGTCCTTGCTCCCTCGGGGGCCCTGTCACCAGGAGGAGGCCACCTTGGTCAGATGCTTCCAAGGGGCGGTCCCCAAACTGCCTTGCGGCCCTCGGGGGAGCGGCCCTGGGTGTGGGTTTGGGTAAACCCCTGTCTTGCCTCTCGGGGACAGGAGGTGGGCTCATGGAGCTCAGGGAGGGGCTGCCCGGCTGAGCGTAGGGGCAGGACCGTGCACCCTGCAGTGCTGTGGGCCCCGCCCGGGCCGCCGGGCCCGGTTCACCCTAGATGGTTCACCCCAATGATGCCTGTGGAGAAAGGAGCTCAGGCCAGAGGCACTGTCCCCAGCTGGGAGCCGCGGGTGTGAAGAACGCGGAAGGGCAGGGAAGCACTGGGCCTGGGGGGCGGGGAGCCTCCAGGGCCTCTTTGGGCCTTTTGTCTACCATCTGACTTTTTGCAGAACACGTACTGAAAAGCAGGAATAAGGCAGTGCTCCCTTCGGCAGGGGGCAGAGCAGAAGGCGCGAGGACACCCTGTGAAGATGTGACACGCCAGCTTGGGGGGGTGGGGGCCTCCCCGGCTTCCTGCTTGGTCCCCACTACGAGCCAGGTCTCCAGGGACGCCCGCAGCCACGGGGCCAAGAAGCATGTGGCTGATGCTGGATGCAGACCTCCATCAGGCGCCCCGGCCAACACATACCGAGTGTCCCCAAGGGCCTCACCGCCCCAAGGTCTGCAGAGCCTCAAACCCAACAGCGAGATGGGTCATCCTGAGCCACATGGGCTGGACAGCCGCCTTGCGGTGGGGAGATCTGTAAAGGGGGTTCTAGCAGGAGGCTTGGGGCTGGGGTAGGACCCAGCCAGGGAAGGTGGCCAGCCCGCACCCCTCCCCAGCTCAAACAGGCCTCCCTGGGGACCATGCCCACCCCCAGGGCTCTGAGAAATCTGCCCACCCTCAGAATCCATCCCAGTCCAATGCTGACACTCCTGGAACTCAGGAGCTGGGCCCTGCTTGGAACTGTTAACAGCCGGCATCGGGGCAGGGCGCGTGGGGTATGGCCAGGGGCATCCTCACCCCACCCAGGCCCGCCCAGACCAGCCAACACCGCCTGGCGACTCTCCTGTGGGCTAAAAATGCCAGGCAGCCCGCTGAGGCGTGGTTCGGGCAGCGAGGAGGTCTCGGGCATAAAAACCCCACGAAGCTGCCTGGGAGCGGCAGCAGGGATGCTGGACAGGAGTTGGGGCCCAGTGGCCCATCAGTTCTCATCTTGCTGCTGTACAGCCTTAAACATCTGCAAGGAAGGATGTCCCTGGCTGTCCCACGGTTGGGACTCCGCGCTCTCACTGCCCGGGGCCGGGTTCAGTCCCTGGTCAGGAAACTAAGATCCCGCAAGCCTTGCGGCTTGGCCGGGGTATGGGGAAAATAATCTACAAGGAGCTGTGAGGCCCAATGAATTCCAACACTGAGAAGATAAATATTTCCAACAGGCACCAGCCCTAATGGGCTTTGGACCCCAGTGTGTTGTTGGTTTTTACAGAAGAAGTGAGTCCATCTAGGAGCCACTGTGTGGAAGCTGGCAACACTGCCCCTCGATCGTGGCATCTGGACACGGGGGAGCTGGGGGGGTGGGCGGCAAACTGTATAGGACTTGGTTTTAGCCACAACCTAAATTAAAACACAATCGTGATTGCGGGCCCTGCCAGTCAGAAGCTCGACCAGTCCAGGGGATTCAATTAAAATGCTAAATTAATTCAATTGAATAACTCCTCTTCGTGACACATTCTTCTAAAAGGAAATTAAGAGGAAATTTAAGATGTTCTTTTTTTTTTTTTTGGACTGATTGGTGATGAGTAACATCGTTCACAGCTCCGAAGAAAAAACGAAAGGGGAAGGCCTCTGCACACAACAGACCGGGCGGGGCGGGGCCTCACCTGCCACTAGCTCCAGCTTCTCGCCAGGGTCCCCCTCAGAGTAGAGCTTGGGGTGGCAGCGGTACCCGATCTGGCTGATGAGGCTGGCGGGCAGGGCCACCAGGTCGCGGCGGATCAGGACGCAGGAGCGGCTCTCCAGTGGCACCGGCTCCGGCTTCTCTTGTACTGCGGACACAGAACCCGCCCGGTCAGGGCCGGCTCAGCCGAGCCCCCGGGGCCATGGACGGGAAGATCGCCCCTTCTCCACCCAGGCCAGCGTGAGGTCTGCCCCGCGCTCGCCCTCCCTGCCCACCAGCCGCTGCCCCTGCAGGGAGAACCCGAGAGAGCAGACAGGGCAGATGGGGGGCCGCCCAGCCCGGCCCAGGAGGCTCCCCGGGCGGGGGGTGTGTGTCCACCAGGCCTCGGAGGACAGCCTGTTAGAGGTGGAGCGGCTGCCTCTGCTGGGGGAGTGAGGCTCGGGGAGGGGACAGACTTCGTCCCGTCAACCCCCCACCCAGCCGCTCCTCACAGCAGCCCCGTGCCACAGGGCGGGGAGGGGGGACACAGCCCCTCTGCAAGTGGGCGCTGCGCCCTCTATTCCTGGCCAAGAGTGGCTCCATCAATACCACCCAGCAGTGAAGCCGGGGGGTGGCAGAGTTGGGCAGGGCAGACGTGTGTCTCCAGGGCTGGCTCCACGTCTCTGAGCCTTCAACGAATGTTCCTGACAGATCACCACTCGGGGGGCACTCAGGAATCCCCAAACATGCCAGAACTGCAGCTGTGATGGGGCGGCAGGCGTGGGGGAGGCCCTCCAATGCCGCCCTGCCTGAACCCCACCCTGAGCACACGCACGCCCCGCCCCTACGCCAGGCCAGCCTCCCAACCGCCCCCCCCCACCCCCGAGCCCTGCAGGGTCTCCTGAGGCCTGGGTGGGCATTCCCGCTAGTGCTCAGGATGGAGGGCGGGTCCTTCAGGCACTTGCTGGGCACCCAGCACACCCCTGTTCCTCACCAGGTGCTGGGAGGCTGAGGGGGTGCCGAGGGCCTGCCCCCTGCCCACAGGAGGGTGAGGGCAGAGGCTGCATGCAGGACCCCACCATGGCCAGGACCCGTCCTCCCTGCCAGGCTCCATGCCCCAGCACCCTTCAGGCGGGCCCCTGGTTCTTGCCCCCTGCCCACCCCCTCTCCCCCATGTCCCCATTCTCCCCAATGCCCCTGCCCCATTTTCCTGCCTGGCACCAATTCCCCCTTGCAGCACTGCGTGCCCGGGCCTCTCAGCAGGGTCACCAAGAGGCCGGCACCCAGCAAGCCTCCACCCAGACCTGCAGACCCCCACCCCGGTTCACGCTCACACCCGGTCATCAGTCTAGCCCTCTTCACCCTGCAGCCCGCACTCAGGGCTGCCCCGGCCAGAGGGCAGGGCCAGTGACTGTCTCGCCTGTGTCCCCAGCACACGGGTGCCCCCGGTCACTCCTGGGAGGGCCACTGCCCTGGCAGCTGTGTGGGTGAGAACCCCAGCTGGGCGAGCAGCACGGCCTGCAGGGGAGCCCCTCACCCACCCGGCACGTGGCACCTGGGCAACGTCTGCAGGCTGGATAGGGCCCCAGGCTGCTCCGATGGGCACCGGGTGGGTCTCCCCTGCTGAGAGCAGTGGCTCTCATCAGCAGCCTTGATGAGCCCTGGGCAGGGCAGAAGGGCACAGCTTGTCAGACCCACCAGGGCTTGGACAGCGGGGGGTGGGGGGTTGCGGACGTTAGGGGGCGAGGCTGGGCGCTCTCCTCATGCAGGGCAGGGGCTCAGGGGCGGAGTCCTTTGGGGAGGCGCCACGGCCACTCCCAGAGGGTCAGAGGCAGCCCCTCGGGCTGGCCAGTGCCCTCGCCTCTGCACTGTGACACCCCCCTGGGGTCACAGGGCAATTCAGCAGGGACATGTGAGCCTGGGGTGGGGGAGACCAGGTGGGGCTGGGAGAAGGACCTGGAAGCCACACAGGGACTGCCGTAAACGGGCTTCGGGAGGGGTGGTGGCAAGGAAGGGTTGCGGCTCCAGAGCTGGAGCAGGCGAGTGCGCATTAGCCCCAGGTTATCTCTGCACCAAGCTCCCGTGGGGGAAGGGTCAGGGGGACCCAGGCCCTGGGGAACCAGCATTCTGCAAACCACAGGGTGAGTCCCACGGGGTAAGGCGGGACGGTCAGTCCCATCCCTGAGGATGGGTTGGGGACCCACCTGCTGCTCTTGCTGCCTCACCCAGGGTCTGGGATCACTCAGGCTGGAGTCACCCCCCAATTCCCAGCAGGGGCCCCCCCCCGCCCCTACAGAGCTCAGCTCTTCCTGGGGAGGCACCTGCCAATGTGCACAGGGTGAGCGTGGTAGCCAGTGCCTTCGGCCTGGAAGGGGCCAACTCCGGGGTGAAGGAGGGAGTCTCCCAGGAGCTCAGATCAGGGCAGAAGTCAGAAGGGTGGCCGCTCTGGGGCTTGGGCAGCATCTCCCACCTGGCATGTTTGGGGAACGCTGGGCGGGGGGTGTGTGGGGGGCAGAATGGCAGAGAGCCGTCAGAATCTTCCAAGCCCGGAATTACCCAGGGGCTCGGGGAGCACAGGAAAAACAACCCGGATGATATTTTAAAACATAATTACCCAGCCCGCCCCCCCCCAACCCCAGCCCGCTGTGATTACGCTCACAGACTCGGAGCAGAGCACCAACGCTGGTGCCGTGGCATTTACATAAAGAGCGTTCGCCAGCAGAAATAATCCCATCCACAACCCTCGGCCTCGATGTTTCTCCAAACAGCAGAAGTTGTTTGTGCTCCGCACACTCCCCCCCACCCCAGCCCGGCTCCCGAGAGCCAGAGGCTGTCAGATCCAGAACAACCAAAAGAGTCTCTTCTATTTCTGCTCCGCCACGTGCCGGATACTGCGCCAGCTAAAAATACCCCCCTGAGCGGCGGCGCATCTGGAAAGGTGCTTCGATCTCTCCACACGCCCCCGGCCCCAGACCGCCCTCTGCCGGGTCGGAGCTGGGCCTCCAGCAGCCTCCGTCCTGGGAGGGGGTTGCCGAGTCACAGAGAGGCTCCGGGAGCCCAGGAGAGCCTGTGCACCGGGCTTTGGTGACAGGGCCCCTCGAGCACCCTGGTGGCCTTTGGTGGGTCACACGGTGCCTGGTGGCAAGGGTGGTGGGAGACCCCTCGGTGGGCTGTGCGCAGGGGTCACACCCAGGCCCCCCTGCGCCGGGGTGGGGGGAACCTGCCAGCCTCCTGCTGCCCCAAGACCCAGGCAGCCGCCTGCAGCATCAGCGGCCCCATTTACACCCCTTTATGATGCTGGTTTCTAGGGTCATGGGCTCCAAATATTCAGGCCCTGTGAAATCTGGAGAGAAGCATGTGAAAGCAATCAGCCGCTGACACGGGGAGGTGAGCGTGCGCCCTGCACGAGGGTGGGTGAGTCGTGGTCGTAAAGGTCCCGATGGAAGGACCTGGAACAGAAGCTCGCCTGGGCAAACGGGCCTCAGAGAACACCAGGGTGTCCACGGGGCGGGCGGTGGGCCCTGCAGGGGGAAGAGGGGTCCCCGCAGAGCCTTCAAGACTCCGCTGCCCACCTGCCCAGGACATGGCCTGAACCCAAACGGGGAAGAGACGTCACGCGAGCGACGTGACACAGAGGGACACAGCCTGCATGCCGCCCTCGCATGAGGCCCTGGGCTGGGGGAAGGAAGGGGTGAGTGTCCAGTGGGGACAGAGCGTCGACTTGGGAAGAAGACGGCGGTGACGGTTACACACATGAACGGGCGTGGTTCTGTGCACTTAAAAGTGGATCTAACAGTAAAGCTTCTCTCAGCTGCACTCTGCCACAATAAAGACACTTTCTCAAAGGAATGAATGGAAGGAGGGAAACTGGGAGCGTCATGCTGCCCTCAGCCCCAAACATCCTCAATCTCCTAAGGGTCACGGGCAGGGAATCTGAAGAATGTGCTGGACCCTCTGCATGGGCAACACATATCAAGACGCCCGCCCACAGGATGCCATCATGTCCAGGAGGCTCAGAGGGGCCCTGTTCTCGTCCCCAGGTGCAGGTGTGTACGGGGCATCACCATCGGGGCCTCACCAACGCCGTGACCACTGGCAGGCGCCCAGGCCACCCCGATCCAGCCACTGGAGGCCCTATTGAGGTGGGGCAGGGCGGGGAGGGGGCAGAGAAGGTGATGCCCGCTCCACAAAAGTGTGTGCCATTTGTTCAGATGGCAGAAGTAGAAACTGAGCCCCTAGTCCTTCATGATACAGAAAAATAAAACCAAAAACCAAACGGAAAGAAGAACACGGCCCCACATGACCCGATGCTGGCGGTGACCAAGCCTGCCAGACACAGCGCACGGCCCAGAGACAGACCCATGCAAGTGAGCTCCGCTAATCCCTGACAAAGGTGCACCGGGGCCCAGCGCAGGAGGTGACAAGCTCCCAACAAGGGTCACGCACGAGTCACACACAGCAGAAGCCAAGCCGAACACCCACAAGCCCAACCAGCGCCTTGTATGAAGATGAACCCAAGTGGGTTGCAGACCTGAATGTAAACACAAACCTACAAAACTTTCAGCAGCAAATCTGTGATCTTGGGTTTAGCTAAAAACCTAGACAGAACCCCAAAAGCACAATCACTAAAAGAAATTAAGAAACTAAACATCGTCACAATGAAAAAAAAACTTGTCTACAAAAGATGACCAAGGAAAGATCGGCATGGCCAGGCAAACCATGTGCCTGACAGAGGAAAACCCCAGGGAAGACACGGGAAACTCTACCGGAGGAAACGAACAATCCAACTTTAAAAACGGGCAGAAGAGCTGGACAGATATGTGAGCAGAGAACACACAGACAGCAAATTAGCACAAGAAAACACGCTCATCACAAGCCCTTAGAAAAATGGAAATTAAAGCCATGCTGAGACAGCACTCCTCGAGGTTAGGACAGCTCGGCAGGACCCAAACACAGCGCACCCAGCGAGGACCCAGGGCCCCTGGAACACTCACCCACCCACCCGCCCTGCTGCGAGAACAAGATGGCACAGGCCGCTGGGAACCAAGAGGCCATTTGTTACAAAGTTAAATGTGTGCTGTGAGCCAGCCCTCCGCTTCCAGGTGTTTATCCAGGAGAAGAGAGAGAGATGAGGGCCCGACGCCAAGAAGCCTGTGCAGAAATGCGCAC